GTTTGTTGCTCCTGGGTTCAAACAGCAAACACTCACCGCCGATCTCCCTTCCTCCCTGGCAGGACGCTTCGGGCCCGGCTCAGGAGCGGATCGTGAACAAACTGACCGATGCCCTGCAGTCCACGCTCTCTTGGAACAGCCGGATTTTCCGTGGCGGTGCGAGGACCCCGTCGGCTCCGATGGTGAGTGCCTCACCTGTGCTCTTTCAAAAACATTCGGGGTGGCCTCTGGTCCTGGTGGCTATGGATAATTCTGTGGGGCAGAAGGCTGTTTGCCTCGGAAGAGCAGATCCAGGGAATCACAGGCAGGCGGGTTGCCTTTGGCTGGTGTTCTCATGGTACTAACTGGCCACGGTGGGTCCTTCACCCTAATCCCGACAGCATGAGGTGGGAACTCTGCAGCCCCGTGATACGGTGTAATACCTCATCAGCTGCTGCGGTTCCGTCCGACGGGCGTCCCGGGCTTCGTGGTTTGGCGGAAGGTGTGCTTTTCCGTTGACGCTCCAAAGGTTTGACCCCCTCAAAGGTTTGCTTCTAAACTGTGCTTTGGATTGCTTTCCATGGGCTTCTCCTTTAATCCTTTTTTCCAAAAGCTGGCCGTGTTTGGCCTTTGAAGGGCATCCGTGCTTTCTCCCTTCCTCCTCCTGGCTTTTCCTTCTGCTCCTGGGCTGGGAGCCATTAAGAAACTGCAGAAGTAGTTGAGAGGGCAGGACAAGAGGGGAATGGTGGATTTATGGGTCTGCTCCACTTCTCTTGCAGCCCTCTTATCCACACCTAAACTCCCTCCCCAGATCCACGCACCTCGAGCGCACCTAGATCATCAGTCTGCAACAGTTGCACCATAACAGAGAGGCACCCCATTGCAGTTTTTACAGCGTTGCATGCTGCCTGTGGCTGAGTGACTGGGAGGGACTTTTCTGGGGTGACTGTCAAACTGTCCAGCATTGACCAATCATGCTCGCCCACCTCTGAATTCATAGAGAGCCCCGCCTCTCTGCTAAGTGTTCTTTCCCCCTGTTTATTTGTTTATTAGAATTAAATCTAAATTTATTTATTTATTAGATTTAATATCTAAAGCCCCTGTGTTCCATCTTTTGGAAGTCAATGTTGTTTGTTGCTTGCTGTGGATCCGTGCACAACTGGACGTAATGAGACGTTTGTATTCTTTCTCCTGCAAACATCTCGGAGTGGGTGATTGAGATCTCAAGTGCCATTTAATGAAAAAAGGGGTGGACTGTCTGAGGAACGTGAAGCTATTCTCTTCTCTGGGTCTCGAGCAGGGTGGAAATTGCAGAGTAAAGTCTCCGAGCTGTTTCTTTGCCAAAGCATCCTCACTTCCACCCCTCCCTCCCAATCCTGGTCTCCCCAAATTCATCCCTCCACCCACCTACCCACCCCATCTTCTTTCTTTATCTGGAAGCAAGATTTGAAGTTGTCAGCGCTGACCCAAAGTGGGGGGTGGGGGGTGAGGAGCCAGGAAGTCTGTTTTATGTGTCTTTGCTCCGACGTTGGTCTTATTCAGTGTGGTCGTGGTATTTCATTCCCATAAAAACAGATGCAGGATTAAGGTTGTTATGATAGAACCGTTTATTTATTTATTCAGGCAATTTATTTTATTTTCTTAACCGACAGCGGTTAACAAAGTCTCATCCTTTCCTCTTGTTGCCGTGCATAATTATCTGTCCAAAACGCACACAGACAAACAAACACACAAACATACGCGTCTCCGGATCGGACCGATGAAGGGAGGACGGCTTCTCTCTTGACAAGGACGATGGTGATCTCGATCTTGGTCCGTTTAATGTCCATCCTCTGTCCAGGCTTTGCTCGCCATCATCTTCCTCTTCTTCGACAAGTATCCCCAACGGGCTTTTTGGGGACGCCTCCGCCTCCTTCTGCCGCCTCCCAAATTGGGCCCCCCGCTTCCCCTGAGGGGTCCGCTGCTGTCTCGGCCCCCTGGAGTGTCCCTTCAGGACCCAAACCCATCTTCTCCTGGAAGAGAAAAAGGGGGGGGAAATGGTGAGGACGGGAGCCCAGGGCCAGGATCCGATTTGCCGTGGGGCCTGTCCGAGCGGTCCTGGTAGCCCCTGGCGTGGACGCTCCACCACCCGACCCGGCTGAAACTCCGTGGGTCCCAGGGAGGAATCCCAGGGGCTGGGGGGGGGAGATATTTAGCCGCACAGCATCCCTGGCTTCAGCACCCACCATGAAGTGATTCTGGTCGCGGACCCCCCAAGAGGGGTGCGGGGGTCTTCGCTGGGGCCTGTCCGAGCGGTCCTGGTAGCCCCTGGCGTGGACGCTCCACCACCCGACCCGGCTGAAACTCCGTGGGTCCCAGGGAGGAATCCCAGGGGCTGGGGGGGGGAGATATTTAGCCGCACAGCATCCCTGGCTTCAGCACCCACCATGAAGTGATTCTGGTCGCGGACCCCCCAAGAGGGGTGCGGGGGTCTTCGCTGAGTAACCCCCCGACCCCCCAAGAGGGGTGCGGGGGTCTTCACTGAGTAACCCCCTCATCTCTTTCCGAGAGGAGTCCATCTCCTCCTGCCCCTTTCCAAAGATCCTCTTCGGCTGCGCCAAAGTGGGTGGTGGCGACAACTCTTCGTCTCCCTTTCTGGAGGGTCTCCGGGTGTTCGAAACCCATTTCCTCCTGAAAAGAGAGAAAGGGGATGAAGAAGACATGAGCTGTGGATCTCCAACCCGCTCTCTGTGGGACCTGACAAAATGCTCCTTGGGGCCCGGAGCTGTGGATCTCCAACCCGCTCGCTGTGGGACCTGACAAAACGCTCCTCGGGGCCCCTTACGTGGACCTCAATCTCCCAGGAGTTCCCTTGACGAAGGGGTGCCATTTCCAGATGAGGAAGGAGTGCTCCTTGAAGAGGCAAAACTGGTCTGGGTTGAGCCAAACCCACGCTTGGTCAATCAGGCTGCCTTTTTGCTTCGTCATGCATTGAAAGAGGATGGCTCTATTTGCATGCTTGGTGAGTCCCAGCCAGGCAGCCCTGAAAGAGTTGCGTCGCTGGAGGGAAACCGGCTTTAAGAGGGAGGCCTGGATTCAAATCCCTGCTGAGCCCCATAAACTCACTGGGGGAGGTGACTACGGGAAGCCACCCCTAAAGTACGTCATGCCCCTCAGAAGGAGGGTCACCCTAACTGAGGGACGACTTGGCAGAGCCGCTCAGCAATGACAACGGCTTCAGGAAACGACAGAAGTCTTTGCTTTTCCTTCAATAAAAGGCAAACACAGCGGGAAGAGGGCCCAAGTGGGAGCCCTAAGGGCTGTTTGCTCGGTCGCTCTCTGTGCCTGCCCTCCCTCGCAGGGTTGTTGGGGGGGAATAATCTTGGTGGCTGAGCGAGGAAAGAGTTTTAGGGTCCCTGGGGGGGGGAGAACCCCGTGACATCCTTCACACACAGGCCCATGGAAATACTCACAGCCTCAAAAACATGCTTAGGGGCTGGTAACGGTCCGGCGAAATGCTAAAACACGGGTGTGACCCACAGAGCACCCCCTTCACACCACCATCCAAGAGAGGCTCCAATGGACAACTGACCGTTGAGCCCAGAGGTGGACATTCCGCCGAGAACCCCCCCCCTTTGTTACGGCAACCCTCCTGCGTATCCTGGCAACGGGCCCCTCCCTGCCCCACCGCCTGCCTCGGGGAAAGCCCCCCCTCCATGCTCCCCTCTTTCCTCTTGGGCTCCCCAGAATGTGGTCTTGCAGGATAGACTGCCACCGGCCCTGGAGGTTCGTGTGGACCTTCTCACCGAGGAGAACTTGATTGCCTCATGTCTTGCAGAGAGAGAGAGAGAGAGCGGCCGATAGGTCTCCCTGGGTGAGGACATGGGGACCCGATCCAGCTGGCGCAGGCCGGGGATGAAGGAAGGAGAGGGAGGGGGGAGGAGAGGGGACTCGGGTTCAAAACCCTCAACAGAGACCGAGGGGGAAGCGAAGGAGCAGGAGGGCCCTTTTTCCGCCCCTCAGGGAAGGTGGAGTGTTTGCTGGTCCAGAAGTGCTGGGCCAAGATCCGGGTGGGAACCCCAGCGGAGAACCAAGGGAAGGCGGCAGAGTGGAGGCACCCCGAAATTCAGCCCGCTGCCATTCCCAGCTCCTGCGCCCGCCCTGGAGGGACCTTGGCCACAAAGGGGGCTGGGGAGGCCCAGATCCCGCTAGGCCGCCTCCTCGAAGGGTGTGGACGGGCTCCAGACTCGGCTTGCTTCAGGATGCCGCCAGCAGAGAGACGACCGCCTGGACCCGGTGCCAGATGCTCAGGAGCCTCGTGAGAAGCTGTTCAGTCGCTGATCTTGCTAGAAAGGAGCGTTGTGGAGACCGTTTCTGGCGGATGGGCTTCTTGAAGGACGGGCCCGTCCCGGCAGCAAAAGGCACGCCGAGCAGGAGACACACTCTCTCAGAAAAAGGGGAAAGGTGGAAGATCGTTTGATTTCTCTCCACCCTAACGAAGCGGAGTCCTTGCCAGTCCCAGCGTCCAGAGTTCATCAAACCTGCGACCAAGGCGGGCTTCGACTCAAACCCCCACCCCTGAGAGGAGCACCGGAGCTCCCGTTTCTGAAGGGGGGGGCGGTCTCTTGCTTCTGGGATCTCAAGAGGCCAGGAAATGGAGGACCGGTCAAGCTGGGGGGCTGGAGGTGGGGGTGGGGTTTCTCCCCAGGGACCACCTGATCCTTTCCTTTGGAGGCAAGGATCCACCCAAATGACATCCCATAACCTCATTCAGGACGACCCTCCTAGGGCCCGTTTGACTTAGTCGTTTCCGTGTCCGGCTGCAGAGCGGGAGGTTGGGGGTTCGATTCCCCAGTGGGGTCTCCTGCGAGGCGAGCCGGCCTGGGTGGGACCTGATCAGGTGGTCCCTGGGGAGAAACCCCACCCCCACCTCCAGCCCCCCAGCTTCACCCCGAAAACAAGCAGCGGAAAAAAGACTAGGAGGGAAAACCACAGAGATCGCGTGGAAAGCAACAGGCTGTCTTTTACATATAGGGTTGGGCCAAAGCAGGGGGTCCTGGACAAACGCCAGGCAAGGAGGGAGAGCAGGAGGGAAGGACGGAGGGTGTGCGCCCTACGGAGGGTCCCATAAGATCTCTGCCCTTCTCCAAATACTTAGGGTCACGATAGGTGTCCTGAGACCTCCTGGAAAGGCTTCCCCTTGGCTCCTTTTTCTGTTCCTCTC